TTGGTAGTGGACAGTGGGTGGGTCTGTTGGTAGTGGACAGTGGGTGGGTTTGTTTGTTGGTAGTGGACAGTGGGTGGGTCTGTTGGTAGTGGACAGTGGGTGGGTTTGTTTGTTGGTAGTGGACAGTGGGTGGGTCTGTTTGTTGGTAGTGGACAGTGGGAGGGTCTGTTGGTAGTGGACAGTGGGTGGGTCTGTTTGTTGGTAGTGGACAGTGGGTGGGTCTGTTTGTTGGTAGTGGACAGTGGGTGGGTCTGTTGGTAGTGGACAGTGGGTGGGTCTGTTTGTTGATAGTGGACAGTGGGTGGGTCTGTTGGTAGTGGACAGTGGGTGGGTCTGTTGGTAGTGGACAGTGGGTGGGTCTGTTGGTAGTGGACAGTGTGTGGGTCTGTTTGTTGGTAGTGGACAGTGTGTGGGTCTGTTTGTTGGTAGTGGACAGTGGGTGGGTTTGTTTGTTGGTAGTGGACAGTGGGTGGGGCTGTTGATAGTGGACAGTGGGTGGGTCTGTTGGTAGTGGACAGTGGGTGGGTCTGTTTGTTGGTAGTGGACAGTGGGTGGGGCTGTTGATAGTGGACAGTGGGTGGGTCTGTTGGTAGTGGACAGTGGGTGGGTCTGTTTGTTGGTAGTGGACAGTGGGTGGGTCTGTTGGTAGTGGACAGTGGGTGGGTCTGTTGGTAGTGGACAGTGGGTGGGTCTGTTTGTTGGTAGTGGACAGTGGGTGGGTTTGTTTGTTGATAGTGGACAGTGGGTGGGTCTGTTTGTTGATAGTGGACAGTGGGTGGGTCTGTTTGTTGGTAGTGGACAGTGGGTGGGTCTGTTGGTAGTGGACAGTGGGTGGGTCTGTTGGTAGTGGACAGTGGGTGGGTCTGTTGGTAGTGGACAGTGGGTGGGTCTGTTGGTAGTGGACAGTGGGTGGGTCTGTTGGTAGTGGACAGTGGGTGGGTCTGTTGGTAGTGGACAGTGGGTGGGTCTGTTGGTAGTGGACAGTGGGTGGGTCTGTTTGTAGTGGACAGTGGGTGGGTCTGTTGGTAGTGGACAGTGGGCGGGTCTGTTGGTAGTGGACAGTGGGCGGGTCTGTTGGTAGTGGACAGTGGGTGGGTCTGTTTGTTGGTAGTGGACAGTGGGTGGGTCTGTTGGTAGTGGACAGTGGGTGACATTATCCTACTGTTTCTGTTCGCTATGATCTAAAAATAGGTTATTGTATTTCAACGCAAACGTTTTGGGCAGTCAAGCGTGACCGAGATCCGGGTGGGTAGCACATAAGTAGAGGTACATCATACGTTTCGGTTTTAGGGAACAGTAGAGGTACATCATACGTTTGGGTTTTAGGGAACAGTAGAGGTACATCATACGTTTGGGTTTTAGGGAACAGTAGAGGTACATCATACGTTTGGGTTTTAGGGAACAGTAGAGGTACATTATACGTTTGGGTTTTAGGGAACAGTAGAGGTACATCATACGTTTGGGTTTTAGGGAACTGTATTTGTTTAATTCATTTATAGAAAAAAGGTATTGCTACATAGAAAGTATACATGTTTATTTGTATACATGTGTATTTGTATACATGTGTCTTTGTGTACATGCGTTTTTGTGTACAAGTGTCTTTGTATACATGTGTCTTTGTATACATGTGTATTTGTATACATGTGTATTTGTATACATGTGTATTTGTATACATGTGTATTTGTATACATGTGTATTTGTATACATGTGTATTTGTATACATGTGTATTTGTATACATATGTATTTGTACACATGTGTATTTGTATACATGTGTATTTGTATACATGTGTATTTGTATTCTGTGCATTATGAATTGCTGATAAGCAGAAAATAAAACAACTAGATGGCGGCGTATGCTACGTCGCGGGTCAGCTCGTACATATATAATCCACAGCCCTCAGTAAGTTAAGAAGCATTTGATGTGACTAAATGATCTCTCTTGGCACAATAGCTAAATCCATGCGATCACTGGTCATTCCATCTTCCTGTATTGAAGCGAGGCACGGACCCTCAATACACACATCTGATACAGGCCATGGATTGTTCGTTCAGATTCCTAGGGATTTCATACAGAGGTCAATGAAATGATCACCAATGCGAAGGATCCCTTCGTAATAACTTCTAAGTACAGTCAAAACAAAGCAACTGAAATGGTGTCACACAAGCCTATCAAAGCAAATAATGCATGGCCGAGGAGGGGAGGAAGAGTAAGTTAAGGGACGACAATAGGTGGATGACATCAAGGAGTGGACTGGGTTGACAGTTGTAGAATTACTTACATCAGAGGAAGAACGAGAAAAATGACAGAAATTTATAAGAAAAATCCACTGTGGTGCCTCAACGACACAAATGTTAAGAGACAATGGACGGATCACTGAACTACTCGGTCTCATTTAACCCTACATTTTTCTATCCCAACCGCTAGGGCCTAAGCTCTGTAAATAACGGCTCTGTCTTTAGCCATCTTATTACATGTTTTACTGCAAGGGGGGAGTAAGATATGTGTGTGGGGAGGTAGGGGGTGTGGGGCTTAAGTACATACACCCATCTCAGGCTACCTCTGCTCTATACCCCTACCATGCATACACGTAGGTTGGATCCAAATGTCGTTCTACACAATTACGTCTTGTTTCATTGTTAACAAGATGTCAATAGGAAGGGGGGGGGTGGTCCGACAACCCACTCAGAGTAAACAAGGTGTCAGTTTTTAGATGGCTGTTATAATATCTATACAGACATACACGTATATACTGATGCAGAAATAAATTTTACAAAGTAACAGTGGTATTAGGACACTAATAATGAATTTTAAAAATATAAATGATAAGTTTTCATAATTTATGTTTATTCTTCATTAGGCATAATTAATTAAATTATGAGGTGTCCATGTTTCAGGTGTCCATGTTTCAGGTGTCCATGTCTACAGGTGTCCATGTCTACAGGTGTCCATGTCTACAGGTGTCCATGTCTACAGGTGTCCATCTCTACAGGTGTCCATGTCTACAGGTGTCCATGTCTACAGGTGTCCATGTCTACAGGTGTCCATGTCTACAGGTGTCCATGTCTACAGGTGTCCATGTCTACAGGTGTCCATGTCTACAGGTGTCCATGTCTACAGGTGTCCATGTCTACAGGTGTCCATGTCTACAGGTGTCCATGTCTACAGGTGTCCATGTCTACAGGTGTCCATGTCTACAGGTGTCCATGTCTACAGGTGTCCATGTCTACAGGTGTCCATGTCTACAGGTGTTCACGTCCACAGTTGCTCATGTCTACATAATTCCATGTTTAGAGTCTACAGTGCATTTTGCCACAACGATTTACAGTACAGGATGAAAAGCTCATGTTAAATTCAAACAAAATATTTACACCCTTCTCCAGTAGATACTTGTGCTGTTTTCAAGTCCTATTTTTAAAACCACTCAAGCGTGACGTGTAAAGAAATAAAACCCCGTGTCTGGTATATAACACAGGTGACTTCTTGTTTGCGTCACATATAACTTCCTTACACAACTGGTGTGTGCACTGTTTGGGATTCAATGCGGACTGGCTGGTAATTAATAAGAAATTAATTAGGCTTTTTTTAAATTTATTTTTGAAAATGCGAATATTTTATCTATTTATACTTTTTAAAATTTAAGCCGCACCGTTTAAGCAGTTTCATTAAAGCAAATAATGTAACATTTATTCAGAGAAATTAAGTCAATCGATCACCTCCAACTGTTGGCTGGTATTATAAATAATTATCTTTGTATCACTAGGTTTTGATAATCGGTAATCTAATTATTTTTTATGTTTGCAAAAATGGATAATTTAAATATGTCCACATTTGACGATAATATTCAATAAATCAGAATATTCTCTTTTTTAAAAAGTTTGTATTCTTCTTACTTAAGAGGCAATGTACACGAATAGATGCTAGTTTATAATTTCAACACAGATGTAATCGTACTTACTCTCTGTACACCGGTCTAATTTTTGGCACGTCTCTAGGTAAATGAATACGCCCTATAGGACTAGGAAAATTGTTGGATGGACTTAAAAAGTGACAGCGAGTGAAATTCTCTTCGTATGAGCTATTTTACGAAAACAACCTTTTGCCGAACGACCCTCTTGATATTTTGTGAGGTGATAGAAGAACGCATAGGGGTGTCAGAAAAAAACTCGCCATATCCGGGAAAAATCTAGAAATCGTTCAAAACTTATCATTCGTATTTCCCTTTATAATCTTTGTATTTTATGGGAGAATATAAATATATCCTCCTTAGCCAGCACGAACAAAAAAACTTAACAAATACTTTGTATACATATGTTTATTTTTTATTTCAACAATAGAAAATACAACGTATTGTAATGTACAATTATGTAGCAAACATAAAAATGTTTCTTTAATTAGGTGGTGTCTTCAACTTCAGACAGGGGACATCATCCAAGCTTGCGTCTCAGGTCAGGGTTTGGTGGTTTTTGGGACAGGACTTATTCTGATCAAGAACTGAGGTGTATATATAGAGAGAAATGTTTTAGTATAGACTTGTGTTGGCCTATCTGTTGCATGCTATACAAACAATTTCTGTACATTATAAAATAACTTTATATATATATATATATATATATATATATATATATATATATATATATATATATATATATATATGTATATTTATATTACGGTCAAAGCCCGAAAACGGCCAAAGCAGTAGCTGACCACAACAGTAAGGCCAGTGAAGAACAGGATAGTCTAGATGACCACCACAGTATGGCCAGTGGAGAGGTTAGTCTAGATGACAACAACAGTATGGCCAGTGGAGAGGATAGTCTAAATGACCACAATAGTATGGCCAGTGGAGAGGATAGTCTAGATGACAACAACAGTAAGGCCAGTGGAGAGGATAGTCTAAATGACCACAATAGTATGGCCAGTGGAGAGGATAGTCTAGATGACCACAATAGTATGGCCAGTGGAGAGGATAGTCTAGATGACAACAACAGTAAGGCCAGTGGAGAGGATAGTCTAAATGACCACAATAGTATGGCCAGTGGAGAGGATAGTCTAGATGACCACAACAGTAAGGCCAGTGAAGAAGACATCTCAATATATTTTACAGGTAATTTTCATTTTTTTGAAAACAAATGGTCCTAAAAATGATATCTATTTGTATGCTTAAATGTTTTGTGCTGATGAAGTCCTTATGTTGGAACATTATGTAGTTTGAAATGTTTACTGGATGAGTATCTTAAGATGGTGATGGTTGAGATGGTTGTGACAGTTGGAGGTTGTAGATAGTTTTCATGTTTTATGTTTGTCAAACTTTAACAGCTCATGAAATATTTACAGTAATAAAATTGTTTTGTTTACCTGTACAGGTACACATGAAGTACAAGAATGTCTTGAAGGTCAAGGTGAGGCAGATCTACACATACGCATGGCAAACTGCAAGAAAAATCCTGGCCATAAAAACTTTATAACTGTAAATCAGTTAAGTCTTGAACATTTTCCTTCTGGTTACCATGACAACGATGTGTATGCCCTCACAAAAGTCCTGGCTGACCTAACTGTCAGGATAGCCGTTAAGTTGACTAGTCGAGACAGACCAGAGTTTGTACCAGGCACTAAAGTTCCATATCCTTTCTACAACATCAGGGGACAGAACTCACTGAGGACAGGGACTGGGAGGGTGTGGGCGGTGACCAAGTACACAGAGGGGATGTACGGCTACAGAACTTGTCCATGTCCTGAATGTGACCACTCGGACACACCCAGTAAAGTGTGGTGTGAGGTACGTGTGTGGACAGCCAGACATGTGGTTTTTGATTCAAGTGAGGCGAGACAGTCCAGCTGTAGGGTGTGGTTTGATGATGATAAAAGTCCAGTGGTCAAGATTTATGGGTGGAAGGTGGATTGGTCAGAAACTGAGAGAGACGTGTGCCAATTGTTTTGTGTGACACATGACGTAGATGTAGCTGGTAAACTAGAGAAGATGGTGAGGCGGTTTGATCGCCTAAGTTATAAATTAAGGGACACATACAAGAGTCATAGAGAAGTGGACAAGCTGACCATTATAGTATCACATCCTCATGGCTGTTCTAAGCAGGTCTCTGTAGGTCACTGGGTACATAAGCAGGTTGTAGGGGGTGGCTCCACTAGGTACACGTACACAACGTGTACCTGTCCAGGTAGCAGTGGGGCTGTGGTCTACAGACTGGGGTGGGGCTGGTCTCTCCATCCCCACAGTGGAGCTAACTCTGATGGATTAAATTATAGTGGAGTGTGGAGGGACAGAGACTTGTAGTTTTCTGCTCCTGTTTAGAATGTAAACAAACATGGCGACTTTTATTGTAGATTTTTCTTGATCTTTTCATTGATGTTTTAACTTTTACTTTCTCGTATATTGAGTATAGAGAAAGTATTATAATCGTGCAAATGAAATCCCAAGAAATTTTGACAGTTTTTTAATCGTTTTACACATAGTACTTCATCACATACTGAGTATGGGGCTTATTTTAAGTAGGCAAAAGTAATAAATGTAGAATTATCAAAATTTCAGCATTCTATGCGTAATCGATTCGGACAATCTGGGCTTTGCAATTCTGTGCGTGTGTGTGTGTGTGCGTGTGTGTGTGTGTGTGTGTGTGTGGATGTGTGTCTGTAAACACGATTCCCACCAAGCATGTCTCTGCCCACACTATCCATTTACATACTGAGGAAAAAGAAACAAGTGAACTCTACTTCACCTGCCCTGTATCCCGACAAGTCCCGATAGGCAACTTTATCATTCTCATGATTGTCTAGAACCCGTGCCACCGACATGGAAGCCTTTTACACTAACAACTTAGCTATCTAGACTCGGTACGTTGTTGACGTTTTTTTTTTGATATATATACTTGATATACGCGAATAGGCCCTAGATCTAGTATCTTTCAAATTAAATTTTATCTTAAAATAGCTAATTCTATAGCTAAAAAAAACACAAAAATTTATATAAAATAATGAAGATCTGAAATAGTTTAGTATAGACACTCATTATTATTATCTAGATCTGGATAGAGTTATCTAGATTCTACAACTGGTTTTGTTAAGTCGATATTTTGCCGTAACTCTAGATGGAAGCCGCCATTGTCATTGTTGTAAAAAGTAAATAAATCATGTGACGACACTATTCACTATAAATAAAGTCATTGTTCTGAACTATTATAATTAATATAGTTAATCTATCAATGAATAAATCAAAAAATTAATTCACGTCTTTAAATAAATTTGTGACTAACAGTCCGTCTAAACACAAAATTTGTTCTCTAACTATACACTATCTTACATATCTCCACATAGTGCAGATTCTCTCCTGTAACCAAACCGACAAACAAAATAAATAAATATTCAAACATGTAAACAAACTTGACTTTGTTATCGACAAACAAACAAATAAATATTCAAACATGTAAACAAACTTGAGTTTTAGTAGAATATAGATAGATATTCGAGAAGGTTTAGGGGAGATCACTCCCGGTGTATTTCTACGAAATTTTATTCTATTTTAAAAAGTGTAAGAATTTAAAATGAATTAAAAATTATGTATATATCTCGAATTGTCATCCCCTGTTGTTTCATATAAGAATATTCGAGAAAGTTTAGGGGAGATTTTTAATTGTTATCGATAAAAGAGATTGATGTGAAAATTTAAAAAAAAAAGATGTTTGTAAAAGTTTTGAGTAAATAAATTTTTTACAGCAAAGCCTTTTTTCTTCTTTTTTACTTTCTCGTATATACGAAGTATAGAAAAAGTCATGTAATCGTGCAAAAAAAAAAAATCGAGATTTGTAAACGTTTTACAGCTCACTGATACGGAAAAACATAATTTTGCAATCTTGTCTGTATGTCTGTGTGTCTGTGTGTGTGTGTGTGTGTCTGTGTGTGTGTCTGTGTGAAAACACGATTACTTGAGTACCGTTATAGCTAGGTTGATGAAATTTCATAAATATGTATTTTATCAAAATCGTAGATCCGTATCAACTTTTTAGCGATTTCCGATAACCGGAATTGGTACTTTTTCTACTTTGAATTTTTCAAAGGCCTATAACTTGAGTACTATTTCAGATAGATAAATGAAATTTCACATGTAACTAGATCTAATTTTCTACCTTCTGTCAAATTTTGAGTAATTTCCGTTGACCGGAAGTACTAATTTACGCTATTTCCGATTTCTCAAAAAACGCACGTAAATTTATAAAGTACTAATAATATCCCGCACTATTATGCACACTTTATTAGGCGTTCACTTGGTGTGCAATTCTTTTTTTTACGAGATTCCTTTCTATTATAAAAAGTTTAAGTAATTAAAAATAAATTACAAATATTGTCTATGTTCTGAGTTGCCATCCCTCGTAGTTTTATATTAGAATATCCGAGAAAGTTTAGGGGAGATCACTCCCGGTTTATTTTTATTTGTTCCTGTGGATTTCGGATTTAGCAACTTTCAATATTAACGCTAAAATTTTTAACTAGCCAGTGACGTAGATAGGATCGTCTTATCGGTGTTGGTGGGGGGGGGGTTCAAATTTTTTTCCAGTATATATATATATATATATATATGTATATATATATTTATATATATATATATATATACATCTCTAGGATAACTCAGTTAGACATTGTAAACATGGTTTACTCGAGTTGGTCTGTGAGTGGAACATGTTTTGTATTCACTGGAAGTGGTATTGCTAATCTACGTTTAGTTCTACGGTTATCTTCTTCGAATGAAACGGTTAATATTCCCAAACCTGGACACGGAGATTGGTCCTCCCGGTGGGGGCTACGCAATCGAAGTGGGGGACGTCGGCTGGAGCCCCGGGGAGAGTTCTTGCTTATCCATCGTTTTGACTTTAGGAGTTTTTAGCAAGACGTGTCCGAAAAGTTACCACAGGGATAACTGGCTTGAGATCTATATCTTGATTTTTTTAAGTTCATGTTTGAAAACAATGATTCGCATAAATATGTCGAACCGAAAAATGATTCAAATGGCTAGCGTAAATAGTGCAGTCTGGCTCTCCGCTAGACAAGTTGGGACAAGTATCGAACATATTTAATAAACCTAGGCAGTCAAAAAAAAAAACAACTGTAACAAATGAATACAAATAAATCATATTTTAAAATAATGTTTATGAAAAATATTATGTCTATGTCGAATAGTGAGAGACGGGCACATACGAATCGTTCAGCGGGCAACATGACGCCCGCGGGCACAGGGTTGGGAACCCCTGCCCTACACAATAACGTTCATGTAGTAGGTTTTGAGAGCAACATAGTGTGTTAGTGACTGCTGAGGAATCTCGTATTTTATCTATTTATTTTTATAAAACCATTATAAAGAAACATTGTTTCGGAATTTAAATATTATTGTATATTTTCGGCCGGACTTTGGGTCAAATTCGGGGTTTTGTTGGTAAGTGAGATCCGAATCTGTTATTGAAAAAAACATACTAATCGATCTTCGATCATCGTATGCACGCATGCATGAAGTAATTACGTGATGTATGACGCAAACAGCCCACGAGACACGACGATTAACGATACATGTGACTAGGTCAGTAGAGTCAACTGTCGACATCCTACCCAGTGGCCCAACTGAACCAAGCCTTTCATTTATGCTACTATAGTGAGATGGGGACAGAGTGGTCTAGCGGTAGAGAGCTGGACTGCTAAACCGGAAGTCTCGAGTTCGAACCTGGGTTCAAGTCAGTAGACCCTCCCTGAGTCCATCCAACTCTGATGGGTACCTAACTCACGTTCGGGAAAGTAAAGGCGGCTGTGCATAGTGCTAACCACACTATCTCTTCATATGCCGAGGTCACAGAAACAAGTGAACTCTACTTCACCTGCCCTATAGACAGTCAGGTTTGAAAGGGAACTGTACTTTTTACTTTTACTATAGAGAGAAAATCCACGTCAACTAAACGTAACTATAAAAATACAAAATAAAGAAATACAAAATAAAGTTTTTGTTTTCTTCTAATGTATACTTCGCATCGAAAAACTACCTGGCATATTGTCATACTGAATGGTGTTTAAAGTTGAGGGTGATGAAATCGAGGGAACTACTGCAAGCGGTGAAAAGATTGTTACAATTACAGTGCACTTGGTTCAGGATCAATACCTACAGCGACACATGGCTCAGTGCATTCGTGTTTACAAGTTCAGATAAAGCCGGTGCAGGAAATGTTCATATTTTTACTTTGTAAGGGAAATTTGGATGGGCTCTATTATTCGTTTTTGTTTCCTAAATGGGAGCAAGGATGAATAAATAAATTAAGCCTAATAGAGTCGTGCAGTAATTGATGGAGTACAATGACGATAGTTAGCTGGAAAAAAGATCATTCACCAGTGGCGTAGCCAGGAATTGGTAATGGGAGGGGTTCAAAAATGTTTCCATACTTATATAATCCTATATATATATATATATATATATATATATATAAATATAAATATATATATATAAATATATATATTTATATATATATTTATATATATATATATATATATATAAATATATATATATAAATATATATATAAATATATATGTAAATATATATGTAAATATATATATATATATATATATATATATATATATATATATATATATATATATATATATATATATATATATATATATATATATATATATATATATATATATATTTATATATATATATATATATACATGTATATATATATATATATATATATATATATATATATATATATATATAAATATATATTTATTTATTTATTTATGACTATATATAGGGGTCGGTGTCCATGGGAGGGGTTATAACCCCACCTAACCTCCCCTTGCCTACGTCACTGTCATTCACACAACTTGCAAGATAGAAGAATATTAAAGAATATAAAATTGAGTCGAATAATTTGCATTAGATGTAATCTAGTCGAAATTTTAGTTTGAATTAGAACATCGAACAGAAAATATATTGAAGCTAAAAACAAACTAGAACCACGACGTAAACCTTAACAAACATAAACTAGAAACGCAACCGAAACATTAACCTGAACCGGAACAATAATTTTAACCGGAATTGAAACTTCACACAAACCGGTACTTTATCTAAGACTGTAAATGTCCCTTCATATTAAACTCATCCTAAAACTTATACCTTAACCAAGAAACCTGAAATTTAACCAGAACCGGATTGTAACTGGAAACTGAAATTTACCGTGAGCGCAACTTTAATCTGAGACGAAACCGAAACAGCATCTTAAAACGAAAATATCATCGGAACCAAAACTATCATCGGAACTTGCATTAAAATAGAAACTTTAAGAGTACAGAAAGCATGACCTTTAACCGGAAGTAAAACATGAACTGTCAACTGCACGAGGAGGTGAACTTTAAACATAACTAGATCACGAACCTGAACCGTAGCATGAATCAAAACCCTAATCATGTGGTCGGATGGTGGAGCGCACTACTACTAACCAGAAAGTTTCGAGGTTTTATCTAAGGCTACAGGTTATACGGTGTCCATCTGTGAAGGGTACAGAAACCCCTATCCTTAGCCTAAATCAATGGCTATTTAAGGAAATATAAGCAGTTTATTTCTATTTTTTACAATTTAAGAACTAAAGATTTTTAAACACTTGTACCATGTTTGGCACTAAAAAGAAAGTATTAAATAGAAAAAAAGGGATTCAAAACAATGTTGGTTGTGATGGAAACCGGAAAAAACATCCGCCATTTTGAATTTCTCAAAAGTTTCAAAAAGTTCATATTATTTACCAAAAAGTTTGATTTTTGCATGAAGAACAATTCCTAAAAATATGGTGAGCATTGTTTAATAAATTGATTAAATAAAGCGGGAGTGATCTCTCTAAACTTTCTGGAAAATTCTGATATAACACTACGGCGGATGACAACTCGGGATATTTTGTCTGAGATATTTTATCTGAGATCAATTGTCCATGTTATCATTTTGTCCTGATATATTTTGTCCTTGAATCTTTTGTCCGTGAGATTATTTGTCCTTGAGATTATTTGTCCTGAGATCATTTGTCCTGAGATCATTTGTCCTGAGATCATATGTCCGTGAGATATTTTGTCTGAGATAATTTGTCCTGAGATCATTTGTCCTGTCACCAATAAAACAATTATAAAAGCCTATAAAATAATACGCGTTTAACAGGTGTGAAAAAAAGAAAATAAACATCTTTGCTTTCTTTAATAAACACTGTGGGATCTCTTACATATTTTAGCGACCAGTGCATTTAAAAGCTTTTATTATAAATGTTTTTGTGTTTGTTTTATTAAATCTATTGGGGACTTTACAATCAATACGGCATCATTGTTGTGTATAGACACAAAATTTAGCCCTAACACGTTACTTTATCCAGCCTTAGTTTATACACGTAAACATTGCACCCATGCTCATCCTAAATAACAGCCTATTTTGTAGATACCACAAAAGACATATCTATCTATATATATAATTCTCTTCTGGGAGCCGTTAGAAAACAAGCTGCCAGCGCGCCTTACAGTCCTTACTCTTCCTCTCTATCGCTACCACCCCCACCCCCCACCCCCTCACATGGTCTGGTGAGCTGTGGTTCACGGCTATTAGGGGCAGATAATTTAGTTAGAAACAATTTTAAACTTAGT